CCCTGCCAGCACTGTTCCTCCCTGTCCGGTCCTGGTCAGGTGCCCCCGGGGAGCCCACGTCCCCTTCCCCAAGCAGTACTGCTGGGCAAATGCAGGGCCTGAGCTTGGGAGGCTGGTAATGCCTGTGAGCCACCAGCAGGCTCCTCCATCTGGGGCAGAAGAACCTCAAATGGATTAATTGAGCCCAGGACAGCACCCAAACTCCTTCTGGGACCAGTTGTCACCCTCACGCAGGCAACACCCCCTGCCAGCACTGTTCCTCCCTGTCCACCCAAGCAGCACCGCTGGGCAAATGCAGGACCTGAGCTTGGGAGGCTGCTAATGCCTGCGAGCCACCAGCAGGCTCCTCCATCTGGGGCAGAAGAACCTCAAATGGATTAATTGAGCCCAGGACAGCACCCAAACTCCTTCTGGGACCAGTTGTCACCCTCACGCAGGCAACACCCCCTGCCAGCACTGTTCCTCCCTGTCCCCCTGTCTCACTACCTTCTGGATCTCCTCCGGGTTGAGGTTGGAGACGTTGAGGATCTGCTGAGCTTCCTGGAGGCTGATTCCGGTGATCCTGGAGGCGGCGGCGGACTGGGGCCTTTCTGAGCGCCCTCGTGCATCTGCTGCCGCTCGGCTCGCTGCCCGGAGACACCAAGGGCATGAGTGTCCCCCCAAAAAGAACCCCCCAGGCCTCGGGCAGCAAAGCCCATGGGTTCTGAGGTGCTGACATCCCAGTCCCACCCCTCTGCCCTCCTCATGCCTGCCGGGGTCACCAGGATGAGGTCCCCGGCCCTGGGGAGGTGGCAGGGATTGGGGGGCACCCCGTTTGCTGTCGGTGCCCACGGCGAGCCGGGATGCAGGTGGGACAGGGCTGCCATGTCCCAGGGGACCACCCTGCTCTGCCCTTTTGGGGCCTGGCAGCAGTGCTGGGGCCAGGCTGGTGCCTGGTTCAGCTGTGGGGAGCCCGGCCCCAGCTGAAACAGAATCACAGAATCTTCTAGGTTGGAAGGGACCTTAAAGATCATCTTGTCCAACCATCAACCTAATTCTGACAAAAATAGACACCCACACAACAAACAAGGAGCATCACCATCACTAAACCAGACCTCCCAGCACTAC